CACTCTCCTGACTAAATAATATTGCTATGTGTGTTTGTGTGTGTGTGTGTGTGTGTGTGTGTGATATCTTCTTTATCCAATCATCTGTTGATGAACATTTAAGTCGTTTCAGTATCTTGGCTTTATATGAATAAAGCTATAGTGACCATGAAGTGAAGATACCTCTTTTGAGATCCTGTTTTCATTTCCCCTGGATATATATAGAAAAGTGAGATCATTGGAAAATATGGTAATTCTATTTTTAATTTTTTGAGGAATCTTCACAGAATTTTTCCATGGTGGCTGCACTAATTTATCTCCCCTCCAACAGTGCACAAGTGTTCCCTTTCCTCCACATCTGCCAACACTTGTTATCTCTTGTCTTTTTAATGACAACCATTCTAAGAAGTGTGAGGTAATGATCCTTTGATTTTCATTTCTCTGATGATATTGATGTTGAGCACCTTTTCCTGTTCTTGTTGGCCATTTGTATAACATTTTTTGGAAAAAAAATCTGTTCAGTTCCTCTGCCCATTTCCAAATCAGATTGTTCATTTTTTTTTTTTTTTCTTACTGAGTTGTAGGAGTTCTTTTCTATTCTGGATATTAACCCCCTATCAGATATGTGATTTGCAAATATTTTCTCTCATCCCATAGATTGTCTTTTCATTTTGTTGATTGTTTCTTTTGCTGTGCAGAAATCCAACTTTAGTTGGATCCCACTTGTTGATTTTCAAGATGTCTCCCAGAGGGTTTACTTGTCTTTGAAATCATTGTGTTACTTCTTATTTTCCCCTCTCTGGTCTTATTTTACCCAGTCTTCCCCATAGCAGCATGCTGCAGCCACATAGACTCTTCTGGCATGCTTTGAAGGGACGATTCCTGCTCCTACCAAGGACTTCCTGTTTCCCTCCCTGGGATACTCCTTCTTCTGTTCTTTCCAGGTCTGTCTCCTCCACTTCTCTAAGATTGCAACTCTAAAACCTTTTCTCAGAGACGACTTTTCTGACACCATTGTCAATGACACTTGGTTTCATTTTCCTCATAACGCTAATCACCATCTGAAATTAGCTTAATTATGTAAGTGCTTCTTTATGGTCTCCTCGACACTCCCATAAACACATGTCCATTAAATGTACATTCCATGAAGGTTCCTTGTACAGAGACTGTATCAATTATTATCCAGATGGAAGCAGAGGACACCTAGTTGGCTAATTTGAGATTAGTTTAATAAAAAGATTGCATTTTATTTTATTTATTTATTTATTTATTTTTAAGATTTTCTTTATTTATTTGAGAGAGAGAATGAGACAGAGAGAGAGAGCATGAGAGGGGGGAGGATCAGAGGGAGAAGCAGACTCCCTGCTGAGCAGGGAGCCCGATGCGGGACTCGATCCTGGGACTCCAGGATCACGACCTGAGCCGAAGGCAGTCGCTTAACCAACTGAGCCACCTCGGCGCCCAAAAAGATTGCATTTTAAAGTGCAGGCAGACTGAAGGGAAACCATACAGGATGTGGCAGAATCTGGAGAAAACATGACAGGTGGCTGTGGTCACCACACTAGGGCTGAAGGAATGATAGGGGCCTGGAGACCCATGCAGGTGTGTGGTGAGGGGCCATAGTAGGAGACAGTGTGGGATGTGGGGGTATCCATGCAAAGAAAAACCCAACCTCGTTCTCCTTATACCATTCAATCTCTTGCCAGTTGGCCTATTACAACTGACAGCCAGAGAGCCAAGTCTAGAAAAGTATATAAAGTGGATCTAGTTTATAAAGTGGCAAATGGAAGAGAATTCACCATTATACTATCAAACTTAATAACAGTGCCTGGATGAAACATATTTTAGGACAAATGCTGACTGAATCTAGTGTCCCATATCTCAGTCCTGCAATTCAATCCTCAACTCAAGAAATAGCTCGTGTAAAACCATATGCTGGATTAACACGTGTAACATTTTATGATTTTTCATATGGAGTATTGCATTATTTTCATCTCAAAATGTTATCAGAGTATTTAACCCATTTTTCAAAATAAGCTGAGATCCACCAAGACTAAGGGGCTTGCATACAACGTAAGGGTCATTGCAGAGACAGAATTTATCCATTGGCAGACTAGTGTCTTTTGATGTATTATTTTAAGTTTATAACTCTCTCGACCACATATTTCCATTCATATTGGCAGAAATAAAATCTCTTCATTTATTTACTCTAAAATCTCAGTGATGTATGCTGGAAGGTTCATCAGGTACAAGACATTCAAATCATACCAAGATTCAATGTATACTTGCCTACCCACTCTTTTTTTTTTTTTTTCTATTAAATAGGATTTACTTCAGAATTATACCTAATTAATTAAATTTTGTGCTATTACTACTGTGGAGTATTTGGACTGTTCTGCAAAATGAATTTCTTGGGCTTCAGCTATTATCATGCAAGGCTACTACTGTATCTTTATATACAAATACTAAGAAATAGAGATGAACACATGAACTGAAACCTAAGACCGGAAATAACAGAATGTAGCATTTCCTTTTGCTGGTTACATTCTATTCTAGGAGCATTTAAACTCAGTTCTTGGCAAGGTTCCTCCTTGCTCAAGATCATATAATCTATTTTTGTTTGTTTGGCTTTAAATATTAGGCAGTTGGTAAACAGTGGGTGGTCCATAAGAAGAGTAATTTCTTGGAAAGGAGACTATTTTTTTACCAGGCTTATTCAATAGACCACAGTGTTTTAAGATTATCTTCTCACATTTGAATTTTGTAGTCTGCCTGATTTCCCAGATTCTACTCTGAAAAAAAAATCTGCAAATATCATATTTCATTTGTCTGAGGCAGTGGCTCTTGAATAGAAATGGTAGTGGGGGAGGGGAAGCACATCATGGTCATCAGTGGTTTTCTTTGGAACTACATTTGCAACCCTTTCCTCTCTCTGAATTCTAACAGATGACTTCCAGTCAAGCTGCATGACACTAAAGGAGGGCCAGAAGCAGCAGATAGGTCACCTATCAGACACAGGATGGAACAGGAAGGCAGGGCAGTTTGATGTCGTGATGATAACTGTAACAACTTACCGGAAAAAAAAAAAAAAAAGCAACAACAAAAACTAGTCTTAAATAAGTGTGATAATGCCTATGCGTTCTCTTTTTCATAGCATCTTTTTTTTTAATTTTTTTTTTTAGAGATTTTATTTATTTATTTGAGAGAGAGAATGAGAAAGAGAGAGAGAGCACATGAGATGGGGGGAGGGTCAGAGGGAGAAGCAGACTCCCTGCTGAGCAGGGAGCCCGATGTGGGACTCGATCCTGGGACTCCAAGATCATGACCTGAGCCGAAGGCAGTCGCTTAACCAACTGAGCCACCCAGGCGCCCTCTTTTTCATAGCATCTTAATGTATGTATATACAATATATATAATATATATGATATAAAGTATAAAAATTATATTTATACACTTTCATATTTGAAGTGAAATGAGTAAAGCAAAAATTATATATAAATGCATATAATTATAAGTATAAATATATACATGTATATAATTTTTGTATTGGAAATGAACTAAGTAAATATAGATCTGGTCAGCAAAAGGGTAGTAGAGCATGCATATGAATTAAGCCCAGGCATTTCTCTAGAAAATATGAACATTCTAAGGCAGGCAGAAGTCATGTAACTTAAGCCGTGGGACCAAGTCACAGAGATGGCAGAGATGAAGAATCTTAGTTAAGAGACTTGGAACTGAAACATCAAGGATCTGAGCTGAAGAGAGGAAAAACAGACTGAAATAAAAGAGTGTTAGTACCAATGCATGAATAAACAGCAGTAGCAAAAAAGTGGAGCTTGTCTTTTTTGCAACCATTTCCTGCCGAGGGTCAGAAGAAATCCTAGATTGTAGTTAAATCTAAATTAGCAACAGAACAGCATTTGGTAAGTCAATAGTGGAAAGTACAGATAAAATGCAGATGTGTATTCAGTTTATGATTTGGATGCTATACTTTGTGTTGGTGCTCAATATTATATTTGTTATTCATATATGCTACTTTATTTAAGAAACAGGACTATCAAAGATACATGGGTTTAAGACAAATGCTCTGCAATCTCTCCCTAAAACCATTGGCTTTATAGGCTGGAATCGGGAATAAAATTTATTCATTATTTTATTTGCAACAAATCCAGACGGTCTTAGTTATTTCACTATGAATAAATATAAATTAGTTCTATACTTGGACACAAGAGCAGAAAATGAGTAGGATATTTCAATATGCATATATACTGCATGATTCATGATTGTAAACTTAATTATTTATATACTCATTCATTCATTCATTCATTCAGCCAGTCATTCAACTAGTCAGTTGGTCAACGCATTCTTATTGAGTTCCTTCTAAATGGCAGACACTGACCTAGATGCTGGAGTAACTTGGTGACAAGAGAGACAAGGTCTCTGCAGTGGCAAAGCTTAATGAGATCTAAGTGAAAAATCTGTGCCTAAAATAATTAAGAGGCATCCTGAGAGATGAAATAAAATGCATGGAGGAGATATTTTGTGTGTTTGAAAAGTTAAGTAATAAATGTATTTTAGAAAATAAAAATAAGAATGGAGAAGAAAATAGCATTCTTTAGAAACCTCACACTCAGTGTAACCACTTAACTTTTTAATGTATATTTAATCTATGTTGTTTAACAATTTCATTGCCTTTTAAAGATAGAATCATTCTGTGTAAGTCATGTCTGACTTGGCTGACTTAATGAATGATGAACGTCTTTTAGAGCTGACACATTGTTTTTTGACCATATTCCACAATGCTACACAGCATTTTTCACTGTATGGCTGTTCCCACAATATGTTTAATTGTATCCTAACCATTGGACATTTTGAGTGTTTCGCTTTTTAAAAGATGCATAATTTTGTTAGCATGTCTTTGCTAGTGAATCTAGATAGAATCATTTTCTTGTTGCAGACTATCTGAACTCAGAAAGCACAATGTTTGTAATATTTAACTTTTATTATTTTTTTCCCTTAAGGTGTTATTAGAACAGCTTTGCCAAACATGGACAGGGAAGTCAAAGAACAATACCAAGTTCTCATCCAAGCCAAGGATATGGGCGGACAACTAGGAGGGTTAGCTGGAACGACAATTGTCAACATCACCCTCACCGATGTCAATGACAATCCACCTCGATTCCCCAAAAGTATGTTCTTTCCTGTTGAGTTTAAATTAGCACAGCTTAAAAAAAATTCTTACATTTCATTGAATATTACAGAAATTATAATAATTTTTCAGACACTTCTGGTCTTTAGGAAGCAGAAACCAATAGATAAAAATTAAAAGACTTAAGAGTTTCATTTTCCATTGGAATCATGCTCAGTACGACTTTAATATAAAATAATACAAGTCAGTAATTGAACAATGAGTCTTATGTTACTGATTTCTATTCAAGTAAAATATTCACAATAGGTTGGAATCTTGCTCTAATTTTTCATTTCATAAGTAATATACTTATGAAAATTCCACTGTAACTTTAGACTCATACTTATGACACATATGACACCATATTATTTGCTCTATCATGCAATTAGCATAAGAATTCTCTGCCTTTTCTTTAGCTATTGTATGTGTAGAATCATTTCCATTTCCTTCCATGTAAGTATCAGATGATAATACAGTGATGCTATTTACATTACTTTGGTCTTACTTTATTTTAGTTTTGCAATAGGTGAAAATTGTTACAGTTTCTATGATAATAGAAAGGTTCACACCTGTATTTTCTCTGTAACTCTGTGCTTCTTACTGAAAATGAATACTTTTCACTTGTGTTACATCTAGTTTTCTTTTGCAGTATCACATTGAACACCAATCAGTACCTGTTCAATTTCTGGTACATTTTCAACGATTAGTTCAGTGTTCCTAAGACTTAGAATACAGAAACTGAAAGTCTCTATCACTGGTTACATAAGAGAACCAAAACAAAATGATTTTCCTCTTTTCAATCTCAGTAGGAGACTTTGAGTTCATCTACTAAAGTATAAAACACTGAGGATATTTAGCTAACTGGATATTTTATTCCTTTAAATCTATGGTTTTTCATATTTTACTACTTTATCATTTTCTCCTAAAATCATCAACATGTATTTTCTTATGGAAATATTTTACTTAGTGATCAGAAAGTCAAATGGCCAAATGTTATGAGGAGCAATTAGAAGTCATCATACTTTAAAATATATGTAACAAATGACTAGTACAAATATGCTATAATTAATAACAGAGAGTCTTATGGCAACACTTCTTACTTGGCTATTAAGGGAAACAGATAAAAGATAAGTAAATATTAAAAGAGAAGAAAGAAATAGTGCATTTGATTCTCTAACATTTGAGGTTATGTTCCCAACTCAAAAAGTACTGATTATTTTTATTTTTATTTTTATTCCTTTTATTTCTTTATTTTTTACTTCTTATGTGTGACAAGCTCTAATAGCCAAGTGAGGAGGATAGTTTGGGAGACTACTCTACTTTTATATAAAAGATGTCACTGGGAACATGGGTCCTGTTCTGCATTTTGAGCATATAAGATATGTTAGTCTAAGGTATAGGAAATAACAGAGATATTCCTACTTTGTGCCAATATTCTTATTCCAAGGATGATAGTGAGGCTTTTCGGATGAGGGATAAAAAACCCAGCCAGCGGAAGGATACAATTTCTGCTGGTATAGATAAAGTGCTTGGTAAAAATTGGGCAGAGATCCAGACAGATAGTCTGGGGTACAGGGAAATGAAAATATCTCCATGAGAAAGAGGCTAGATTATACATAGAAAGACAAGATGGTGTGCTCAGTTCCTGTTGAGATACGAAGATCATCTCTTGATCTTACCTAGTGAAAAGAGAATCTGGATAAAGCAATAGGCTTATCTGGGATTATTCAAGGTTGAATATGTAGGTGTGAGGGTAACTAAATGAGAACCACGAGGAAAGAATGTGGGAGATAAGCTCACTGGGACTTCTGGAACATTTCCACGCTGTGTCAGCAACTTTATCATTCTCTTATTCCCTATTGACCACGACACTCTGATTTCTTTATTTTCCACATTTTACTGTTAAGAAAACTGAGGCTTAGAGAGGTTAAATAACTTGCTTGAAATCAGCAAACTGAAGTAACGATTTTTTTGTGTGTGTGTGTGCCCAAGTTCAATTCCTTCTAGTTTAACATAATATTAAAATGAAAACTTACTCTTTTTCTTTTACCTGCCACTCTAAAACCATACTTTTTTGAACACCTGCAAAGTCACATAACATATGTTGAATTGTCAGCATTCATAAACAGAGAAACGAGAGGGCAAAAGAAATATACCGAGCAGCTCACCATGATCAAATTATTTTCTACTTGTATTACATGCATTTTTGAACTATAGTCTGAAAGTATAACAGGTGAGAGAGTTTTTTGAATCATGAGAAAGGAGAGGATTTTCACATTTTTGCATGAATAAGAAATTAATCCCCTTGCAATTTCATATGCTATTGTGTCAAGCCCTTTTTACTGTATTGTCATTTTGAATTGCATCCTTCAGAGGAAAAGACAGAATATATTTATAAACAGAAAAGCCATTTCTTTAGAAGTCAATGCACTTTTTGCAAGAATATTTCTCACGTGAAGCAGTTAAACTGCAAACGTGACATAACATTACAAACTGAAATGATGGTCTTTTCAATGTAAAGGTAAAATATATATACATATTCTATACATAAATAACTTATAAGAGAATCTGCACAACTAACTGTATTTGCTCATGCCTATTAAGCGATTATTCTGAAAAGAAAACAAAACAAAAACAGAAAACTTCCTTCAGATGAATTTCATGAGCTCCAATTTCTCATTGCTTAAAAATGCACAAGGTAATTTCTTAAAATTTACTAATCATAATTCATTTTGGCTTTGTGTGTGTACATATGCATATGTGACACTGTTAAGTACCCATTTCCATCCATTGCCTTCTCTAAATACTTTAAGAGACTAAAAAAGAAAATTGAATGGCACTTGCATTCGTATCATGCATGTGTAAGCAGTTTACTGTTTTATTGTTGCAAAATAGATGGTTCCTGAGACATCAGAACTTCCTGCCAGTATGATGATGGTGACAATGATATTGACTAGTAAGTTACTATGTGTCATGTATTATGCCAAGTGATTTGCATATATATTCCCCTCTTACTTTAATGACTGTATACTATTTTCTCAATTTTAGAAATAAAGTAGCAAGGCATATTATTAAGAAAAGTTAATGATAGAAGTAAAGTTTTTAAAAGTTAAAAACTTGTCCAAGATCATGTGGCCACTGGGTGAGAGAACCAAGCCTAATCTTACGTAGTGACTTCAGGTCTCTCTTTGTCCCTATCCCTGCAAAGGCAATTTGCTTTTGATGCCTGTGTTTAGCCTAAACTGTCCTAGAGATAACCCATAAAACTGTCCACAAACAAATAGAGAAATTGAAATAATATCCACCACGTTAGAAGAGCTGTACCTGTAGTCCTATAAAGACAAAATATTTTCTTTGCAAAATCTTTTCCATATACTTCTAAAACTACCATCTACCATAATCAAGGTTATCTGCAGAGGATCTCCATCTGTTAAAATAATCTACAGAAAAATGCTGATGGTTTCCATTACTTGAATTTTAAATGACAAAACCATCTAACAAGCTGACCTAAATAATGCATTATGAGATCAAATCAATTAAGTGATGCGGTTAATTCACATTAGGCAAAATATCCATGCTTCTCCCACTTGGTCTCTATCTTCTGTATAATAATTTTGTAATGAATACAAGAACAACTTAAATGAAAGAAAGCACTCCTTGTACAACATCGGATGAAAAGAAATACTTCATTTATAGGACATGTAAAGAAGGTTTTTTTTTTTTTTTCCTTTTACAATATAAGAGAGTAAGAGAACTTTAGTTTTACTTAGGTTTATGTTAACTTCAGGACAATAACAACTTTTCCTGGGGTAAAATCTAATATTTACGAGTGTCTTATTCATTAAATTAACAAACTATATAATATGGATACAACTGTATGTCCTATATGGTAATTATTGTGCAAATAATACATTATTTGCACAATAAAAATAAAATTAAAGCATTAAATACATCAGCCAGAATGTCTACTGCATAGTGAACAATGTTTGATCTTGTTTACACAAACTACCAAAGACTACATGCATAAAATATATGTATATGCATTTATATATTTTTTTGTATTATACAGTCATGATATAGAAAGACTACAGAATGTCCAGGTTAATTATTGAATCATCAAATAAATAAATGCTTGTAACTATATATATATATTTAGTGTAAAATATTGATGTGTTTAATTAAAATGTATTATTTTATATATATAGTCTCAGAATCCTTAAATAACATCATGGAGAAATATGTCCTGACCTTTGAGTGCAAAAAAGGCCAATATGTGTCTGAACGTGGAAACACGGTCAGGATCACTTCAGTCTTTTTCACAACTTCTGTCTGTTACTGTCAGGATGTGAATTGTATAGAACTCTCATATCCCACCTTCCTTGGAGACTCTCACTACTGGCCTACTTCCTACCCACAGGTCAAGTGCAAATAACTGGTAACACCCCAGCATGTTCCTAAATCATGTCTCTGAGGGTGCAACAAAGACCAAATTTCTGCTTTTAGCACTATCTTCAATCTGTTATCTTAAGGGCCGGGATGGAAAAGAGAAAATGCTGACAAGTACTCTGAAAAAAATACTAGAAGAAGCATGACTGGAATAATGGGTCTTGAGTGAAATCCACCACTTTGCTGAGGATAACTTCTTCAGCCTCACTGAAATATTTGAGATTGGGAGGGTGGTGTGTGTTAGTTTGGTCCTCAAGGTTAACACCATAATAATATATTACTTAGTACAGAAGTTTTGACTGTAAATATAAGTTTAGGCTTAATTGAAAACAGGTGAAGGTTTGTGTGTGTGTGTGTGTGTGTGTGTGTGTTAAGATTTTATCTTATTTTGGCATCATGTAATCAACAATTCAAGTGTGAGACTTTACCTATGGTGTAATAAAACTCATAGGTTCCTAAACAGACAAGTAAGGTAATGAGAAAGTTTTCCCACCTCCACCTCTCAGCCTTTCTGCAAAAAATTAGAGGAAAAAAAACTTATTTTGTGACAATTTC